TTTAAACATAACTTTTTTACCCACCTCAGTGACAAAGCCCACGAGACATATTCTTATAATAAATTACTTTTTACGATTTTCCCACCTCAATAACAAAGCCCACGAGACATATTCTTACAATAAATTACTTTTTTTAGTTTTTAGTTTAATTTTTTTTAAAAAAATTATCTATAAATCTCATCTTGAGAAATGGTGATCCATTTAGTCTTAAGAATTTTCTTTTAGACCAATTAGTTCCATTGATTTTGGAAAGATAGATTTAATATATTATTTTAAAATTAGATTTACGGTTATACCCCTATTCATGTTATGTTCCTTATCTTCTTTTTTTTTTGTGTGTGCTACAAAGGTAAGGTACCTAATATAAGGGAATCAAATTTGGAATGAATTTTTATATAAAAATCTTTTTTATTTGGAAAACATTTCAAAATGAATACAAAAATTACTTAAAATATGGGATTCTTGAAACATTCCAAAAGAATGTGGGATTTTTTAACATTTCAAAAGAAGTACAAAAACTACATAGTAAGTTTTGGCCAAATGTATAATTTCAAACTGTAATACTCCAATGAAACACTTAAAAAAAAAATCTTAATGTAATACCCTAATGTAACACATAAAAAAAATTTCTTACTGTATTTTTCTCAATGTAATACTCGAATATAACACTTCAAAAAAAATTCTTAATATAACACACAAAAAAATTATTTATTGTAACACTCTAATGCAACACACAAAAAAACTCGTTAATGTAATTTTTTTCAAATGTAACACTCTAATATAACACTAAAAAAAAACTCCTTAATGTAATACCTTAATGTAACCAAAAAAAAAAAAAAAACTTCTTAGTGTATTTTTCTCAAATGTAACACTCTAATATAATAATTTAAAAAAACTCCTCAGTGTAACACTCTAATGTAACAGACACAAAAGCTCTTTAGTGTAACACTCTAATGTAACACACAAAAAATCCTTAGTATAACATTTTAATGTAACACACAAAAAAAAATTCCTTGGTATACTTTTTCCAAATGTAACATTTCAACAAAACACTCTAAAAAAAATCCTTAGTTTAACATTTTAATGTAACACTCCAATATAACACACAAACAAAAAACTTCTTAGTGTACTTTTTCTAAATGTAACACTCCAAAGTAACGCTAAAAAAAAAAAAGAATGTGAGATTCTTCAAACCATTTTCAAAAGGAGTACAAATATTCCTTAGTAAGTTCTGGGCAAATATATAATTCCAAACTGTAAGTGTTATGTTTGAAAAAAATGCATGTGTTACATTGGAGTATGTTACATTGGAATGTTACGTTTGAGATTATACTAATTGAAGTGTTACGTTTCGGAAAATTAAACTAAAGAATATTTTTTTGTGTTATATTAAAGCGTTATGTTTGATAAAAATACACCAAAAGTTTTTTTTTTTTTTTTGTGTTACGTTGTTACATTTGGGAAAAGTATACCATAGAGTTTTTTACTGTGTTACATTGAAGTATTACGTTATTCGAATGTTACATTAAGCTCGTTTTTTTCAAATATAACACTTCAATAAAACATTTTAAAAAAATTCCTTAGTTTAACACTTTAATGTAACACTCCAATGTAACACACAAAGAAAAAATTTCTTAGTATACTTTTTCTAAACGTAACACTCCAAAGTAACACTAAAAATAAATAAATAAATAAATAAATAAAAGAGAATGTGAGATTCTTCAAACCATTCCAAAAGGAGCACAAATATTCCTTACTAGGGCAAATGTATAATTCTAAACTGTGAGTGTTACGTTTGGAAAAAAAATACATGTGTTACATTGGAGTATGTTACATTAGAATGTTACGTTTGAGATTATACTAATTGAAGTGTTACGTTTCAGAAAACTAAACTAAAGAATATTTTTTGTGTGTTACATTGGAGCGATATGTTTGGTAAAAATACACCAAAAGTCTTTTTTTAGTATTACGTTGTTACATTTAGGAAAAGTACACCAAGGAGTTTTTTACTGTGTTACATTGAAGTATTACGTTATTCGAGTGTTACATTAAGCCCCATTTGTTTTTAGAAGTAGAATTGATGGGATTTATAGTGAGAGGATTAATAGCGGGAGATTGTTAGTGAGGGGATTGATAGTGAGGAAATTAAGTAAAATTGTGTTTATTTTGATGATAGTTGTTAGTGTAGGAATTGTTAAATTATTTTTATATAAAATAATAAAATAAATAAAAAAATATAAAAAACATTAAACATTAATGTTCAAAAAATAAATGCCCAGCATGTAAAAAATTTTTAAAAAATAAAAAATTTCCAAAAAAACTAAAACAAATAAAACAATGATTTTTTACTTAACAAAAAAATACAAAAAATTAAACATTAATGTTCAAACAAAATGCCCAACATATAAAAAAATAAAATAAAAAATTTCTAGTCCGGCGGACTATTTTTCTAATACCATATCCACCCACCTCCTCCATCCCAATCCTCCTTCCAAGGCCTAACCTAATCCCCTCTTCCATCTCAATCCTGTCTCCAAATCTACAAATAAACACAACATTAAATGGGTCCCACCTCTATTCTAATCCCATCCCCCCTCTATACCCCAAAACAAACGAGGCCTTAGAGTGTGATTTGTTCTAGAATTAGGGAAAATTCAAAACTCTTGTAGTGCAAATTACCCAAATATGTAATTTTACATTTTTAGAAATCCACTTTTATTCTTAAAAAATTAAATCCAAACATGTAAGTGACTACCCTTTTATGTAATTTCCACTTTAATAGGACCTTCGGGGTTCAAAAAAAAATGTTTAATGATTGTAAAAAAAAAAAAAAAAAAGAGAAAGGATTAAACAGTTCACAAAATTACATTTTCGGATCTATTTGTATTTCACCCTTAATTTTATTGGGTGCATTTTTAACTGGGTAATTTTACAAAATTTATTTGAAAGTCGAAACTGGATCTGTATTTATATTTTGACCTCAAATTTTTAGCAACACATTTGATAAATTATATTTTGATTTAATAATTTTATTTTCATTCATATTTTAATTTCATCATTAATTGCATCGTGCCATTAGAAACGAGCATACACTAGTACATTTAAATAATTTAATAGGGAGTTTAAAAAAATTATAGGTACTAATTAATTTTTTTGGTGTGAATAGGATCCCCCTAAGCCCAAACTGAATATTAAATCAACATAAAATCTTAGCCCAGTTCGGCCCTATGGGCAAAATAATTTTTCTAAACCATAAAAATACCAGGCTGGATTGCATGGATTGGGCGGGCCAGAAAGCTGATGGCAACCTTTTAGACTAATTAGTTACAATTACAAAATTTCAATTTTTTTGTTTTTTATTTTTTATATTTTGCATCTTTAGTAAATTTTTTACATTATATATGGAGCTGAAGTGTTAGTGATGTGACAAATTCTGATACTTTTTTTTTATGAAAGTTAGTTTAGGAGTAAAGTGAGAAGGATTGTAAAAATCAAATGCTAAAATGGGAAGAATTACCAATATAAAGGGCCGAAGTGGGAAAAATCAAACTTAAAGGATTAAAGTGGGAAGGATTACAAACATAAAGAGTCAAAGTGAGAAAAATCAAACTTAAAGGGTTAAAATGGAAAAGATTGTAAATATAAAAGGTCAAAGTAAGAAAAATTAATTTTAAAATGTCAAAATAAAAAGTGAGTGAAATTTTAAAGACGCAAAGTATAATTTCCCATAATATTTATGTCATCCAACAAGTGTTTTATGTCAGGTTGAGGATTTGAACTTCCAAGCATGAACCATCCGTTCCACATGTATGCTTCTTGCCAACTCATTTTTTTCAAAATAAATAAATAAATAAATAATTTCCATGCGCTTTCATTGGCATTTTTCACACTTGATTAGTCACGACCGGCTTTAAGTCAAAAACTCACAAATCGCCCGCGTTGGGCCGCAAAAAAATAGTTAGAAAAAAGGTCCCAAAATTAATTTAGCTCTTGTATTAGTCCTTACAAATAATAATAATAATAATAATAATAATAATAATAAAGGCCACTTGAATTTAAAATCCAAAGATTTTTATTTTAATTTTTTATAGAGGCTCAATCTAAATTAGGAAGGCCCAAAATTTTTGGATCCTCAATTTATATTTTAAAACTTTATGTTTCATTTAACAGTTTTCAAAAATAAAATTTGAGTTCTTAATTTCTATTTTTTAGTTTTATTGATTTTTAATTTTTTTTAATAATTTTTTTAAAACTTTTTAGATCCACTTAATTTAGATAAATTTTAAAAATATAAAATTTGTCATTTTTTTTAAAAAAAAAATTCACTAAATGCAAAAAAATAGTATATATATTTTTTGTATTTATTGAATTTCTTTAAATTTATTCACAAATATTTAACGTTTTAAATATATTTAGATAAAGTACATCTGAAATATTAAAAAAAATGATTAAAATACGAACACCTCTTACTTAAATAAATAAATAAAACTCATCCTTTTTTTGTAAAAAAAAAAAATTTAATCTGATTTTTTTGATTATTTTAGCCTCGTTTGATTTTTGTTTTTGGCTATTTAGATTTTTGTAAGAGAAAAAGTATAACGATTATTATTTGGATGTGACATTTTATTTTATTAACTTATGTAGCTAATTTTATCTTTTATGCATTTTTAACCAAAAAAACCAAAACTAAACATAATTTTATTCAATTTTAGAAGCAAGTTTGGACATGACGGAAGGGTAGGCAAGTAAGGTTGCAAATTTGCTTTATTTATTTATTTATTTAGTTTTCATGGAACCATATTTATCTTAATTTTTTGAAATTAATTGTGGAACTATATCATATTTCTGAACCTTTTCTTATGGACAAAGGAAGAACTTTACTTTGGTTTTTTTTTTTTAATTTTTATAAAACATTATCATGCACAGCTTTAGTTTCACCAATTTTTTCATCTAATTTAATTTCAAATTTGAGTAAAAAACTAGTTCTTTCATCAAATTTTCATCAAAATCTCTTTTAAAATTCCCCACTTATCCCAAATTCTCCTTTTCATCAAATTGATGAATAAAATCATTTCCAATGCTTCATTTTTTAAAATTTTTGTCAAATTCAAATTTTATGAACGATTTGATGAGTTTTTAATTTGATACGGAGAATGACTCTCTTTGATTCGATGAATATTTGATAAAAGGATTAAGATGATTTTTGAGCACTTTTTCATCAAATTAAATTTGACAAAAGAAAATGTGAAACGATTGGAGATGCTCTAGAGATGATTTTTTAGCACTTTTATATTTGATGAAAGAAAAATTACACAATTATCAAGAGAAGCAAATTAGCTCTCTCAGTTCTTTCTCTCGGTCCCTTTGTTTTTCCTCTCATTTTGGTTTCTCTCTCCTTGCTCAAGTTGATCTTGTCATTTTTTCTTTCTATACACACCAAAATATTTTGCACCCAACAATTGGCGTTGTGAATGTAATTTAGCTGTTAAAAAATGAAAGATCTATGTGGATAATCCCAATTCATGAGAGCCATTCAATTAATCCATAGAAGATGTGCCACGAAACAACACTTATTTGTGTTTGGCTCTTTTGTTCTTGTTCTTGGCTTCTTGATGAGCCAAAGGTGAGTTCTTTTAATCTGCTTGTTACACTTTTTTTTTTTTCTTTTCTTTTTCTTTTTTGACATCTTAGCTACAAGAAGAAACTAACAACTATGAATAAACAGAATTTTTAGCAACATCTATTAAGTAAAAATCATTGCAATTACACAAGATTGTATTTCTTAAATAGAAACAACCCAAGTTTGGTGTTCCGTAGATGAAAATTGAGGAGTTATTCTATTAATTTTGGTGTTCCTTTAGTTTCCAGCTACTTTCAAATTTTAGGGTTACTAATCTAAGTATTTGCATAACTGTTTGGAAAATTAATCTAGTATTTGCATAAGAAAAAGCGTTACTGAATTTCACATATTTTGGCTTACAATATGATCTGGTGGTTGTCAAAAGATCGTGGATGTGGTTAAATTGCTTACTTTGGCTCTTTTACCGACAACAATCTAATAGTACTTCTTGTTTTGTTTTGATTTCATTTGATAATTGGTTTGTTATTGCACTTGAACATCTGAAACTTTTTCAACAATTTGTATAGCTAATTAACCTCAAAATATACAGCTGGAACTAATTAACTTTTTTTCATATGTTGACATTGATAAAGAAGATAGGTGTGTGATGGATCCAATTCCAACATTGTTGAGGATACTATGGGACATGTGGGATGTTCGAGTGCTAGTTCTCCTCAGTCTTGCTTTTCAAATCATTCTTTTCGTCTTTAGCAACCGCAGGAAGTACATGTCGTCACTGTGGATCAATGTTGTTGTTTGGCTGGCCTACTTACTTGCTGATTGGGTAGCAATTGTTGCCCTTAGCAAGCTATCTGATGCCCTAGGTGATAACAGTAACAATGTATTTCCAGCAATATGGGCACCTCTGCTTTTGCTACATCTTGGTGGCCCAAATACCATAACAGCTTATTCTTTAGAAGATAATCAGTTGTGGTTGAGGCACTTGATGGTACTGGGTGTTCAAGCTACTGTGGCAATTTATGTCATTCTTATGTCTTGGAGAAAATATTTTTGGTTTTCATATTTGTCACTCCCAGCGTTCGTGGCTGGAATTATTTCTTATGTGGAGAGAGTGTGGTGGGTTCTCAAGTTAGCGAGTAATGACAACTTGGGAGACATTGTACCATTTAAAAGGCAAGCCGACATAAGTCTTGATGGTCAGGAACACAAGTATGTAAGAACTCTAGTCATGGCGCAGAAGTTGGTCAAACAATTTAAGCGTTATATAGAGAACTATGACATTGGTAGATTTGTTTTTAAATTTCCTTCTAATCAGCTGTCAACGAAGGTGCAATGGAGGGAAAAATTCACGAGTGATGATACATATTTTTGGGATGCATTGGAGGTTGAAATGGGACTTATGTATGATTTATTCTATACAAAAGCATCCATAATGTATACCAATCGAGGGTGTGTTATACGCTTCCTCAGCTTTGTTTGTATTATGTCTGTGTTGGTAGGATCGTTTTGGGCTATATGTAGGAAAGAGAACTGGCATCGTGAGCACTACAACTACTCCACGATTGACGTCACCATCACAGGAGTGTTGCTATTTGGAGCTCTAGCATTGGAGATTTATGCAATCATTGTAATTTTAGCCTCTGATTGGACAATGCTTTGGCTAATTGAGCACGAGAAAGGAGAATGGGTGATCCAATTAAGACGAAAATTCCCCTGGCTTTACAAACAAAAGAAATGGTCTAAGAAGGTAGGGCAATTTGACCTATTGGCTTTTTGCTTTAAACAAAATAAGCCTGCTATGTTGTCTGGTAGACTTAAAGAAAAATTCGATAGGTACATGCATAAGACTCATGTGGTTGTACCTCCTAATCTATATGACACGATTTTAAACTATGCTTATTATTGGAGTAGGCCAAGTGTAATGAAACTAGATGAGGTTGCTCAAGCTACCTTAATATCCACCATGAAGGTCTTAGATCCTCATCTTCCAGCTTTTTACGAGGTAATCGTGATTGTTCACTTGGCAACAGAAATTTGCTACCATTTGGAATTGAATATTACCAACCAACGAGGTGCTAACTCCTCTAGACATGAAAAACAAATTATGGAAACTTGCAGGACTTTGTCCCATTACATGATGTATCTACTCCTCATGTGTCCTTGGGCATTGCCCATCAATCTTTCGTACACCGAGTTAGGAAACTTGATCCATGATCTCAAAATGTTCATTAAGGATAAGGAGGATGTAAACAGAGCTTGTGAATTGTTGAAAGATTATCCCATAACATTACATGACCCCTACGATCTACGCCGGATACTACTTGTTGTACAAAAATTTGTGAGAAACTTCTTGGGATGGGAAAGGCTGAGATCGTTGTGGTTGGGCATGCTGGGGTTTGCAGCAATTAAAGGGGACAAAAATTATCATCTTCAACAACTTAGACAAGGAGGCGAGTTTCTCACTTTGTTATGGTTCTTTATACCCCAATCTAATATATTGGATAGGATTGATGCTGCAAAAGTGGGCAGACAAATTAATAATCAGGTGACTCAGCTTACTACAAGTAATATAGATAATTATGTAGCATAGAAATTATCCGTATAGATGGTTATGTAAGCATTACATAAATTATCTTTTTAATTTTGGTTCAATCGTTACAAGTCCATTAATGTATGATTACTTGCACCGATCAAGGGTGTCAATTCCGCTCTTTCAGATGATCGGTATTTAACTGATCTTTCGTATTTTCTCAATTTCCTTTTATTTTCATTCTAGTTTTAATTTTTTTCTTCCATAGTTTAATCATGTGAAACAAACGTACGTACGGTACTTTACATTAATGTTATTCATCTTGAATTATTAGGCCAACCATTATCTTGAAATCTAAGTTCTCTACTAGTTCAACACTGTTTCAAGGATGGAATTTGTCATCTGGAAAATAAAATGGTCTATTCCAGCAACATTAAGGGGACTATATTTATGGTATGTTTCTGCGCATATTTTGGGGATTGCTATGGTATGGTTATTTCAGTTCCTCTAACAAAAATAAGGCCTTGACACTCCTCACGTCTCTAAGAGTGAGTGAATGAGTGAATGAGTGAGAGCGAGAGTGAGTCTGTGAGAGTGAGTGAGAGAGAATGTGACTACCTGTGGCTAGAACATGGGTATTATTGGTAGTTTAAAAAGGTTAGATAGGATGGAACCTTTCAATTTGTATATATCGTGCATACATGTTATGTAATTTTTTGGTGTTATGAACATTTGTTACTTTAGTTACAAATATTTTTATTGTGGCTTTGTTATTAGATTTTGTGGAATTTTTGTTAGGACTTTTTTTCCAGTATCTCTAAGAGTGAGTGAGAGTGAGAGTGAGAGTGAGTCTGTGAGAGTGAGTGAGAGAGGATGTGACTATGTATGGCTGGAACAGGGATATTATTGATAGTTTAAAAAGATTAGATAGGATGAAACTTTTCAACATGTTATGTAATTTTTTGGTGTTACTTATGAACATTTGTTACTCTAGTTACAAATATTTGTGTTGTGGCTTTGTTATTAGATTTTGTGAAATTTTTGTTGGGAATTTTTTCCAGAGTGAGTGAGTAAGTGAGTGAGTGAGAGCGAAAGTGAGAGTCTGTGAGAGTGAGTGAGAGAGAATGTGACTACGTGTGGCTGGAACAGTGATATTATTGATAGTTAAAAAAGATTAGATAGGATGGAACCTTCCAATTCGTATATATCGTGCATACATGTTATGTAATCCTTTAGTGTTAGTTATGAACATCTGCTACTTTAGTTACAAATATATACATATTTTTTTTTTGAGAATCTAGTTACAAATATTTGTATTGTGGCTTTGTTATTAGATTTTGTGGAATTTTTGTTAGGACTTTTTTCCAGTATAAGTTATGAACATTTGTGACATTAGACCACAACAAAAAGTCACAGCCTAATAAGACCATACAACGAATGTTTAATGTACACCTTGGTAACTAACAATACACATATTCATAATTTTTTACATGTATTTTAGGGAAATTGAAGTATCTATTATTGATAGTATCTTCTTTTCTTTTCTTTTTCTATCAGCAAAATGAAAGAAAAATATTATTGATCAATGGAGTTAGAACAATCTAGCAAAATACAAAAATAGAAAGAAAAGGGAAAGTGCTGAGAAAATCATAGTTCACAAGCCTCATCATCTCAATTAGGTTGACACCAAATAAAAAGCGAATCAAATGGAAGCACAAACCAAAAAAACAAACAAACCAGAAAAGACCAACAAAAACAGGGCACCTTTTTCATTCCATCAACAAAAAGGAGATGAGGAAAAACCATCCTTCTAGCTAGCCACAGCACGAATAATAAAAAGGACTTGTTTGGGGCAACTCAAAAGTTGCTTCTTTTTTTTTTTTTCCAGGAAAAAAAATAAATAAATAAGAGAAGAAGCTAAGGTGTGCCAAACAGTGGTTGGTTTTTATTTTTTATTTTATTTTTATTATTATTTTAAACTTCAGCTTTCTTAGTCCTGTTTTTGTAGAAGTAAGAAAATGTGTATTTTTTTTCTCATCTTTTAACTTTTTACTCAAAACTACACAACAAAAAATCACTTTTCAACCAAACACTCTACAAAAACACTATTACTAAAAGTTTTTTTTGTTATTGGCCACTATTACTAAAAGTTATAATTTATTTTTCACCAAACACATTTACAACTTCTACTTAAAACTGAAATCTAAAATCACACTAAAATCTAAAGTTCACTAAAATTGAAGTTAAGCATTCCCAAACACCCACAAATTATCGTTCCAATGTCATAATGGAGATCTATTACCTGTGACTTGTCGCAACTCGAAGATGAACTCATTGATAGTGAAATCTTTTGTCTTCCATCCTTGCGTCACCCAAAAGGTGATTCTGGTCTTCACAACTTTTGCTATTGATTCCCATTCAATTGTCGGCTTATTATTGAAGATGCAATCAGTCTTATCTTTTCCCATATTGTCCGTAAGATACCAAAAGGACCTCCAAAAGAAGCAACCATTCCCATATTGATAATATTTCTAAACTGCATAACTATCAATGTTACTCGTAATAAGCTGAGTCACTTGATTGTTTATTTTTCTACACACTCGCGCAATGTCAATTTTTTCCAACATATTAGATTGTGGTATAAAGAACCACAAGAAAGTAAGAAAATCGCCTCCCTGCCTGAGTTGTTCAAGATGATGATTTTTTTGCCCCTTAATTGCTGCATAGCCCAGCATTCCTAACCACATGGATTTCAGTGTTTCCTATCCTAAGAAATTTCTGACAAAATGTTGTGCAACAAGTAATATGCGGCGTAGATTTTTGGGGTCTTGGAATTGGATGGAATAATCTTTCAACCTTCCACAAGCTTCTTTTTCATTCTGTGCATCATTAAGAAACACTTTGAGCTCATGGATCAAGTTTGCCAACTCAGTGTCCAATAGAGCGATGGGCAATGCCGAAGGGCACATGAGGAGAAGATACATCATGTAATGCGACAAAGTTCTACATGTTTCCTTAATTTGGTCACCACCTCCAAAGGAGTTTGGAACTTGTTGGGAAGTATCATTCAAGTTCAAATGGTAGCACATTTCTGTTGCCAAGTAAAAAATAACGATTAGCTCGTAAAAAGCTGGGAGTTGAGGATGTAAGACCATCACGGTGGATATTAAACTAGCTTGAGCAATCTCATCTAGTCTTGGTACATTCGGACTACTCCAATAATGAAAGTAGTAGTCCAATAATGAAAGTAGTCTAAAATCATCCTATATAGATTAGGAGGTACATCCACACAAGTCTGATGCATGTACCAATTAAACTTGTCTTCAAATCCCAAAGGTCTAAGTAGGCTTCTAATACAAGAAAACCTAGCAGGCTCATTTTTTTTAAAGCAAAAACCAAGCAGGTCAAATTGCCCTACCTTCTTAGACCATTTCTTCTTTTGGTAAAACCAAGGGAATTTTTGTCTCAACTGGATCACCCATTCTCCTTTCATGTGCTCAATTAGCCAAAGCATTGTCCAATCAGAAAATAATATTACCATCACTGCATAAATCTCCAACACTAGAGCTCCTACAAGCAGCACCCCTGTGATGGTAACGTCAATTATGAAGTCGTTGTAGTACTGCTTGTTATGCAACTTCTCTTTCCTGGATATTACCCAAAACAATCCTACCGACACACACATAGTACAAATGAAACAATGCAACACATAACACACCCGCACTTGGTATAGATTATGGATGCCTTTGTATAGAACAAATCGTACATAAGTGTCGTTTCAACCTCCAATGCATCCCAAAAATATGTTTCATCACTCATGAAATTGTCCCTCGATTGCATCCCATTGGACGAGTGATTGGTAGGCAATTCGAAAAGAAATCTTCTAGTATCGTATATAATGCTTAAATTCCTTGACCAACTTATGGCCCATAACTAGAGCACTTACATATGTGTCCTCCACTGTGGTACGACCATCAAAACTTGCAGCAATTAGATTATTATCAAACGGTACGATGTCTCCCGATTTGTCATTGCTTGCTGACCTAAGAACCCCCACTCTCTCCCCACACTTAATAATTCCAGCCACAAAAGCTAGGAGTGATAAATATGAAACCCAAGAATTTTTTCTCCAAGAAAAAAAACTTACAAAGACTGCCACGGTAGCTTGAACGCCCAATACCAACAAGTGCCTCAACCACAATTGATTATCTTCCAATGAATAAGCTATTATAGTATTTGGTCCACCAAGATGCAACAAAAGCAAGGATGCCCATATTGCCCCCATGACATTGTTACTGTCCTCAGCATCGTGATTCCATTTGGTACGAGAGAGATTGCCAAGCGTAAAAGTTGCTATCGAATCAGCAACTAAGTAGGCCAGCCAAACAAAGATGTTGATCCATTTCAATGACACGTACTTTCTACGATTGCCAAAGATAAAAAGAATGATTTGTAAAGTGAGACTAACAAGAACTAGCACTCGAATATCCCATAGGTCCCATAGTCTCCTCAACCATTCTAGAGTCGGACCGATCATACTCACCCTTGCCTTCTTTATCAATATCAACCTAGTGAGAAAAGTTTTTTTTTGGTTAGACAACTTGTTCCAAAAGCCTAATAGATGTCCAAGAATCAACCAACACAACACAGCAATAATAATAATTCTTACTAATAAGTCTCATCTCATGCCAAACACAATCAATTTAAGAGATGTACACAACAAACTCAGTCTACGCAGCGTCAAAACTTTACATAGGTACCAAAAGATACCGAAGGTTAATACTAGGCTATCTGGACAAGAAAATCTAATTTGTATCATTGTGTTTGATCTGAAAGAAAAAATTCTAGAGGACTTTAAGGAATCTAGAATAGACTAGGTTGTGCAACTTGTTTCATATTTTGCCTTGGTTGTCCCCTTGTAATTTTTATTTTTAATTTTATTTTTTTATGTAATTCTACTTGCTTCATAGGGGAAAAAAAGAGGTTACAGCACATTGGTGGTCCTTAAATATGCTTTTCTTGCCATTTTGAGTCTTTTAAAAGTTTCAATTTTGTCATTAAATTTTTAATTTGAGTCAATTTGGTTCAATTCCAAACCAACCGTCTACGGAGTTAACGGAATAATAATAAAACACACACATGGTTCTCAAAGCATATGTTTAGTTTATTTTGGCCCCTAAATTTTTTAATTTTCTCAATTTGATCTTGAAACATTCATGAAAAAAATAAAACATAACCTCACAATATTGATGGACGAAATTGACAAAATTAATATTTTAGGGACCAAAATAACACAAAACATATACTTTAGGAACACCATTGAAATTTATAGTTATTTCATTAACGATTTAAATGGCCGTTTGGAATTAGACCAATTTGACTCAAATTAAAAACTTCAAACTTTGTTTATAGTTATTTCAGTATTGTGCATTAAAAGCTCTAATAATTTTTTCTATAAAGAACCAATAGTATTGAGTAAAGACCACAGTGGGACAAGATTGGTGCCTCGCACCTTCCCATCTTGTACCCCTAAAAGAAGGTTTAATTATATTTTTAATTTTCAAAATATGTGTTCCATCTCATTTCCATTAAATTTACATATCAGAACAAAGGATATTTTCATCATATCACTTTTTTAGTTACATCACTAGTCCCCTAACTATGCTTTTTGTCTTATTTTAATATATCCAATTTTTATCAATGTGATCCTCAAGTCGGAATTAATCAAACGGATTAATAACACCAATAGTCCCCAAAATGTGCATTATGTATCAATTTCGTTCTCAATGTTTCAATTGTGCCGATTAGTTTTTAATGTACGCAATTTATGTCAATGTCCTCCCAAGCTTTGTCAAAGTAATTTTATTGAG